AGGCGGCCTTGGAAAATTGTGAAGAAAAGCAATTGAGGTCCATTATTCATTATTCAGAGTTAATTCTGCTCTTTTCATTGGAATTTAGAACACAGAATCGCACACAAAAAATTAGCAAAGCTTCCTGTTCCCAAAAATGTACTAGCTGCAACAATCCCGAACTATTAAACACAATACTGAGAGAAAAGAACGAGAAATACTTAATCAGTTCACAAATTAGAATGATACGTGTAATGTATGCGATGCCCATGGCCATCCATCACATGGTTGAAGGGCGGAGTATTTAGTTTTTCGCTTATTTTGGAATGGAATGTGCAACCGAATTCATAAGACTGATTTTGATTAGAATAATACGCGTGCATTTATAACACGTGTGATATATACAGATGCAATTAGTATGTTTATAAAAATCAATATGTAGGGCATGATTTAGCGTTAAATCTTTAACAGGAAAATATAGCAGTATTGACGCTGCCGCGATAAGATGAATTTGGGCGCCTTGTCATTAATCATTTTTTTTTACTCTCTTCTTCCCTTGTGTTACTTATTGACGATGTACATATTAAGTAGTTTTAGGACTGACTAATACTAATGCAGTTGTTTCAATACAATGAACAAGCTTCTCCAAGATACATGTATATAGAACAAAATGCACGTATTTTTACATTACTTTTCATGCAATTGCACAGTACAAATTATTTGTGCTATAAATCGGCGTATCTTTGCATTATTCAGAGAAAAATAAGTATTTAAAGGGGGTATTCCGAGAGGCAATTATTATCGCTCATAGAAATTTCAAAACAACTGACCACGCACCAGAAAGGTTTTGCAGGTTCGTCGGCGCTTTCAGCCTGAGTTCATTTTTGTTTTGCTTGTCATACTCTCGGCTAGAGACTTGAAAATTCGCAGCTCTGAGAATAGTGGAACATACTCAAAAAACGAATTTTAAAATATAGAAAACAGGCACAAACATTATCTCTTTGAATGCTCATCAAGATTGTTAAGGCTGTACATAAATAGTAAAAACAAACATGGTAAAATAAAAAGGATGGCGGAATCTTCATATGCACTGTATATAACTTTTTAGAAAACTATAGATTTAAATTTGGGACTTTTTAATTATGAGCATCAGCAAAATTCTTTCTGAATGAATTAATGGTTTGCCGGGACGTTCAAATCTAATTAGCTCTATAAATCCAGTATTTCGTCATAGGTGTACAACCAACTGATAAAATGCAAGTCTTTGCAGTTACCATGTGTGTATGCATGTGTATCTGCTCAACTGATATCTAAAGAACCACACACTTGGTACATACTCGTACTGGAGGTCTTTCTAAGCTTCCTTTGATATTTACAAGGGTAAAGGCTGTGGGAAAGGTCATGACATGTCACCTAATTAGTTATGCATAAACCTAAGTAACAGGGATCTACACATTTACAGTAAAATTATAAATGGACATACAAATTGTAATTGTTAGACCAATTATGTGAAGACGTGTACAGTTTTGCAGCAAGCCATTATTTTGCATAGAAAGACACATACTAGTAATAACACATAAAAGTCAACACAAACATGTATTTAACATTTTAATCATTAATAATGTTAACAATATTGAAATATTCATAATTGATGATTTCTAGCCCTATAATGTTTCTAGAAGTGAACTTAATATCACAGATGGCTTCAATCGGTATTTTGACAAGCCTATGAATTTATAAAAACTTGTATTCATTTTATAAAATGTTTACATCTAGTATTTGTTTTCAAACTATTCTATTATACAAGTTTTTGTATACAGAGAATCGTTAAAGAACATTTCTACTCGCCTAAACATTTGACTGAATTGCCATTTCACAGACAATATGAACGATACAACTTTGTGTACTCTATATTAAACAAGTGTACATTGTACACAAATTCTCAAAAGTTGATACTGCCAAAAGGTATATCTTAGGGAGTGTGGATAAATAAAACATGTACACGGCAAACATAATATCTTTAAACATACACCTCCCTCTATAAACAAAAATTTGCAAGTGCAAAACTGATGTAACAAACTAAATAACTAAAATAGTAATTGAAATCACCTTGACCACCTCTCCCCTAATCAAAGACATTACGATTGCTGCGTGTACGTTTTGATTTTCCAGAGCACCTTACAGCAGCGACGCCAGAATGCCCCAATATAGACGTTTGCTTTGATAAATGATCTATAAATGCAAACAATGGATCAGCATACACAAATACATATAAATGCATTTATACTGCATTCTCTTAAGCTAGTTGCAGAACCCTGATAGTCATACTTGCGTATATCCGCAAACAAGCTAAAGTCAGTCCACACGCTGGCATGGTACGTTACATACCCAATATAGATTATACTTCATACCATACATTGTCAGCATGCATTTCAATTCACATAAAGAGTTTCTTCTTTTCTCTTTTTAGACATAACTGTTCCTGGTTTATGCTGGGCATCAGGGTGATTGGCTAACTCTGGTGGGCACGTTGATGCGGGACTAGCAAGCAGACAATGTTTCAAATCATACATCACCATTTTGTCATCAGGTGTCACTAGAGACACAGCAAGTCCAGTTTTTCCAGCACGACCAGTACGACCAATACGATGGGTATAATCTGCATTAATACAAGATAAAAATATTATACATATCTGTGTGTACGCCTATAACCATCCAAAATAAGGTCAAAAGTGCCAGTTTCAGAAATTTTATTTTGATATGTGTTCAACTCAAGCTCTGAAAACTCTCAGACTTTCAAATAACATTTTAAATTCAGACTAATAAACCACCCTTTCTGTGTTTCTTGAATGAGCATAGATGGATTTCACAAGGGGTAATAAGTTCGGCTATGCTTGGTGGCTGAATTGAAGATGCTCCATTCAGTGCAGAGAGGTGTATTGGTGCTATTTGTACACATCGGTTCAAGTAATGCACATAGTATGTTTATTTAACATCTTACTATCTGTATAAAAGGTGTTATTCCATGGCTTACACACTATATTGTACAATTTTGAGAAAAAGACACAACACAAGACATTTTGCGAGTTATACTGACCTTCTATGTTTTTAGCCATATCATAATTGATCACCATGGAAACATCTTTGATATCAATACCACGCCCAGCGACGTCAGTACAAACTAGAATATCCTTATCACCGTTTTTAAGACTGGCCAATGCAAACTCTCTCTGCTCTTGACTCTTACCACCATGCAAGGTTGTTGCATTATACTGTGAGCAATGAAAAGAAGCATAATTACTGGTATGTAATTACACTACACATATGGTTTAACTTGGATGGATTCTTTTATCACTTTCAAATTTCATTAGTAAAAGTTGTTTGAAACAAGTGAAACAGATATTCAAGTAACTCTTTCAAATTATTTGTTGAATTAAATGTACATACACTATCAGGATGAGATAAGAAATATATCTAACAATCTGCGGGTGTTTTGGAAAGTGCCCTCTATTGCCAAATGTTTTTGCCTCAGTAGTGTTTCTACTCAATATAATGTGGTCTGACTGTATATCTACAGCTGGTGATACTATTACCAGCTCTTTAATGGTTTGATTTAATAAATTTATAATACTTACTCCCATCTTTTCCAGTGATTTTGCCAACACGTCACATCCTTTCTTTTGATTAACAAACGTCATAACTGGAGGTTCAAATCCAGCCTCCAGCAAATGAACAAGCTTCTTCCTATGAATGCAATTCACCGTAGTTAGTTATGTGGCTTTAAAAAGGAGGTGGTCATCAAGTAGTATGTATTAAAATTCATATAAACAAACAAACAAATGTATTTTACACATGTTGTATACATTGCTATGGCAACCACATCAAACACGACATGACAGTGCAAGAGGACCATCATAATTTAACTAGGGAACTATTATAAAAGAGTATTGCAAACTGTTTTATTTTTTCACTATTGATTTTCGCAAGCATTTGAAGGGCAATTTAAATTTCAGAAACGTCACTGAGAATCCTGTCTCAAAGATCCTGAATAAAATATTCTCTGTTACACATGTTTCCTGACTCCCTTATACACAAAATTAAAGGAGACTGCAATATATCAATTGATATAACCTTGCATCCAGAATCATATTAAAGTATTAATATGTGAGAGACTCGTAACAAAACTGTGATGTTCAGCATGGTATATCATTCCTAATATTGGTATGGTAAATATTATGATATTTGAATATCATGTGTGTTCTTATACATAGAGAAAGACAACTGTGAATGTGCATCCACCCATGCTGCTGAGACAGCATGTCTAATAATAAATCAGCAATTGAATGGAAGCATATAAAAAATTACTTCACTGGCTGAGTTGGTCACGTGATAAAAGGATTATCACTTCATATATAACTGATAGTTAGTGCTGGTTGATATTCTTGCCATTAGGGGCTTTACATGTTATTAGCTGTGGTACATGAATAATCTAGCCCATGACACGACTCTTATCAATCAGCTCTGCTATATTTATTTTGATATGTTGATATATGCAGTGAGAAGTCAGAGCTAACACAGACACATTATCATCCAGCGAACTCCTCTCAAAATGATGACGAAGTCCACATACTAGTACCTCTTTCTTAACACTTTATATTACTATTTCAGTGGGCATAAAACTATTTCTACAGAAATATTGACTTGCCTTTTCTCCTGTTGTTTAACCATGTAAACAACTTGTTCCACTCTGTCAACCGGTTTACCAACTGAGCCAATATGTACTACGGCTGGTCTTCGCAGATAATTACGAGCTATTCTTTCAACAGGTGGGGGCATGGTGGCTGTAAACATGACAGTCTATACAAAAGACAATATATTTATAAAAAAAACAGACAATAAACAGGACTATTTTGTGAATTTGTGATTGTGAAAAGGTGAACAATTATATATATATTTAAAGCTTGAAAAAAATAACACTAATGTCGTGGATGCTTATCCACTTGTGTTTTTCCTCATTGATTCATATTTGTTGTTTCTTCAGTTTTATTCTTTCGTATTCGTAATTTAGTTATATTATTAGATCATGTTTTGCTTTATCTATTTGTCTTTATTTTGTTCAATTACATGCTATATTAGCCGAGATACAACAATTGAAAGTTGTTACATGCCTGAAACTATACCGTAATGCATGTATCTCTATTGTAAAGAAACACAGATTCGGTTTACATAAGCCATTTAATAATAATCAACAGACAGCACGAACGCAATAAGAATCAGTTGCGAGGTCGATTTTAAACCGATGTATCAATATTGAAAACCTATCACTGTGTCTCCCTCTTATTTTGATCCATAGGTGTGAATCCTACTGAACCCTATAAAAGGGGCATTCTATCGTGTATTCATCAGTTGCCTTCTTGTTACATTATACATTCTTTGTTGTAACATCGCCATAATAAACAGTGTATTGTTTAAATGTACATTACGCTTCCTTTATTATACTCTACGATCCAATGCATGCAGTTTGAACCTGATCGAATGTGAGCGAATATCACCCACAACTAATCAGCCATAAATGTAACAAACTGTTTAAGATGGATTAAAAACATGGCATAATCTTTAGATCAACATTCCAGATTTTGTCAGACAGAGAATAATAACTCAAACAAATTGTCTTACTTGTCTGTATTTGTGTTTGGACGCAAAGTTCGCTAACAGTTTATCATGATCCTCAGCATCATCAGTGTCAGGTTTTTGGTTGCTAACAGGAAGATACTCCAAAATATGTTGTACATCAGGTTCAAAACCCATGTCAATCATACGATCAGCCTAAATAAGAAAACAATTCATAAAAAAAAAGAAACATAAACAAAAATTAATTTTATTCATGACAAAAGCAGATATGTGATCGACTTCAGTAGGCAAACAATACAAGCCTGATTCAAATAAAATTCTAGTTCTGGATTCTTATTTAATTTGTTTAGTTAATGTATTTAGTATTTATGTTTTTTAATTTCATTATTTGTTTAAAGTTTAGCAAATAAATTTTAAAAAATAAAACATAGCATAACTATTACAACCTTGTCCATTGAGAATCTAGATTTTTGTCTTTCCATGGCAAAAGTGATTATAAAAGTCCTGAACCAATGCAATAATAAATCTAAATATTTTGCTTGGAAAAAACTGGCTAAAACAATGAAATCATCATTACATAAAAACAATGATTAATATCAATGTTCTATAAAAATACTACATGTACTGTATTAATCCCAAAGGTTCCTTATAAAATGATATAACACGAATTGTATAAAAGTTACTGGTTTTCATTATCTGCAGTATACATGTCTTAATTCAGTCAACTTATTTTTACTTCTAACAAATGTTTTACTTCAGCCAAAAATTTAACTTGGTTGACAAATCATTCAGATAAAAATTGTTCGAGTTATTGTAACCACAAGAAAATGACAATTTTAGGTGAAATGTAACCAATAACATGAAGAATAAAAAACAAATTTCAAAATCAAACTTGGCTGAGATCCCAGACTGAATATCCAAGTTTGAAAGACTTCGGAAATTGAACAAGCAGCCTGTTGGCTGAGATAGCTCTGCTGTTAGCAATGCACATTTCAATTAAGGAACAGAAGATATTAGAAAATGAACAATATGTATAGTATCAAAGCAATGGGACTTGCTGTTTTCAACAAGAAATCGGAAATATCACTTTTTACCAAAAATATTCACCAAAATTATAGAATTAGAGATATCATTACAAATTGAACAAATCTGAGAGAGGTCCACATGTAGTACCTATATATGTAATATCAAAGCAATTTGACTTGCGGTGTTTAACAAGAAGTCGAAAATATCACTTTTTACCAAAAATGACAAAAATATTCACCAAAATTAGAGAATTGAAGATATCAACATGAAATGAACAAATCTAAGAAAGGTCTACCCAAGGTACATATACACCAAGTATCAAAGCATTCAGGCTAGTCGTTTTCAAGAAGAAGTCGAAAAAGTAAAACATTGACACAGACGACGGCGGACAATCACTCACATGATAAGCTCCGCTCGACAAAGTCGACAGCGGAGCTAATATAAACTGTTGTACAAACATTTTACTATCATCTAACTTGCACGTTTTCGACACGGATTAAAAGTTGTTATGGGAATAGAATAAAAACTGTTGTAACCTGAAGAAAAAACAACCTTCATATAACTTAAGAAAAAAACAAAATAAAACAAAATTAAATATAAAGAAAACAAATAAATAAATAACAAACAAACAAACCCTAACTAGGATTTTATTTTTATCAGGTGGGTCAGAGACATGAATTTTCTTGAAAACTCACCTCATCAAGTACTACATACGTACACTGATTAAGAACAAGATAACGATTCTCCAAGACATCAATCAATCTACCTGGAGTAGCTATTACAATTTCACAACCCATACGTAGTTTGAATCCTTGATCTTCACGAGAGATACCACCAATAATGGACACGGTACGAATACCAAGTGGTTTTCCAAAGTTAATTGTTTCAGCTTCAATCTGTTGAGCCAATTCACGGGTGGGAGCAAGAATAACTGCATATGGCCCTTGATCAACATCTTCTTGTCTAAGTACAGAACGAAAAACATCAATTCAAAATTTCTGCCAATGAAATACAGCTAGTTGTTTGTTGTGCATGATATTGAAACTTACCTAGCTATTTTTGGCAGTGATGAGATCCACACTAATAGAGGTATTAGGAAAGCTGCAGTTTTACCGCTACCAGTCTCAGCTACACCGATAACATCACGGTTCTGTAAACCAATAGGGATTGCCTGTCGCTGAATAGGAGTGGGTTCCTGATAATAATGACACAACAGGAGAATTATTAAGGTGCATTAGACAATATTACTCTGGTTACCATATATTAATCCCATAATTAATACTATAATTTCCAGGTACATCTATGTATATTTTTTTCTATTTCTTCAAATAAAATTTCATGAAACATTAATTATTTTCTGAAAGATTGCCCACTGGAAATTGTTTCAGCACCCGAGGAAATTCGTTGGTAGAATAATTTAAATGGAGTTATTGATTCAAAATTATGCAACTGAAAGTTTAGGAATTACTGTAAAATGACTAATTTTCACTGGGTTTAAATTTCACTGATTTACCATTTCAGGCATATTCAGTGGGTTTTAAATTCACGATTTTATCATTTAGATAATGTGTTCTATGCTAAATTTTACATATTCACTGGGTTTTAATTTAGCGCATTTTCCAGTCAGCGAAATAAGCCAAATTAAAACCCAGTGAATAATTAACCATTATACAGTAAGTTGTTTCGGTACCAAGTGTAGATCAAACTACTGTATAAGAAAGGCAATCTGTGCCAGACACAGACATAAATACAATTGATCGATGTTTTGGTTCTGGTAATCTCCCAAAATATGACCTATTATCCAAAACATCGCCCAGGGCGAACTTTCAGATAAATACAATAATAGAGCAAAATGATATATTTGTTTTTAGGGCCGAACATGCACTAACAATTCTTGGTTCAGAAAGTACCTAGAAATCAAGTATAACTTGTATATCTATATCACAACTCACCTTATAACCCATAGAATCAATAACATCAATAATGTAGTCAGGCAATCCAGCTTCCGTCCAACTACGAATAGGTAAGGGTATACGGCCACCCTTTGTAGCAATGTTGTAATCTTCACGAAAAATACGCCAATCACGTTCTTGCATTTCTTCAATGGTTTTCTGTGACCAATGTCTGTCATCCCACCTCTGTTTAGCCTCCTTCTGTTTCTCTTTCTTTTGTCTTGTCCTAAAATATTAGTTTGTTATGAATAATAATTTAAAGTGAATAAACCTCCCTAATTTTATAATTTACTGCTAATTATTTAATAGGCACATGACTTGTTTTTTGCCAGTCTCCTGCTATAACCAATTTATTAGAAACAGTAGATCTGATGGCAGAAGGGTATGAAACACTTTTTGATATGTGAAAACAACTTTTATCACTCTCAACGATATCTTAACTGCCATTTGCGTCTAATATCAATTTCTCACCATTATCAATTTTCACAATTTCACAAAATGACTGTGAACATTTCTTGTGATGATGATTTTCAAACTTTCCATAAAGTTGAAGGAAAAAGACAGGAGAAGAAATTGTGATTGGGTTCGGTTGGCCACATTCCAACTTGAGTATTATTTCTGACCCACAGTTGAGCATGAACTAAAAACTAGAACAGAACTAGCGTTTAACTTTTGAAAAAGGGAAATAGAACATTACCGCGTTTTTCATGCAGATGGAGGTCAGCCAATCAGTGACTGCGCAATAAATTAATAATGGAATATCAGTCAACACATATGGCTTATTATGTTTCAACGATAGAAATCAAGTCAAATGGATCACAAGATGCTGGTCGAATGGATACCTTAAATCAATATGGGCACGGCACAACTTCAAAAGAACAACAAACTGGTAAACAGAATTGGTTGTTGATAATAAAGCTGACTTACAATTCCTGTTCTTTCTCTTGTATAGTTCTTCTCTCTTCCAATAACTCTCCATAAAATTTGCACTTGTCTTTTTTCTGTGCTTTCAGATCAATACCAGCAATGTGCCCACGCCCATACAACTGTATCTGGTGTTTTTCTTTGTACCTGTTAAAATATAATAGTTGTACTAATCAGACCAGTACCAGTACATTATTGTTGGTAATTAACAACCTCTAAATGTAAATGAAAATCTTGTGTGTTTTATAGTATAGCATTGTGCAATTTGTCAGTTGGCGATAAAAATAATGCTGACAGTCAGAATGTCACCATAGGATTGTGTTAATCTCAAATTTTGGTGGTACACGGATGAAGATACATACAACAAATTCTGTCATATACATCAGGACAGAAAATGCTAGAGCAAGCCTGGTTACTCACAATGGATTGTAGTCCTGTGATGTGTCTTCTGTGGGATCCCAATCAAAAACAAATTTACGATCATTGAGACGTCTTATTCTTTTCTTCTTCTTCACCATCCCTAGATAACGATCCTAAACAAAAACAAAAAAGACCTCACATCAAATTGCAACAGTGTTCTGTAAATTAAGTACCTAACACACAATCGAATCATTCTATAAAAACATTTACCATTCCAAATACATGTAGCAACAAATGCCCCAAATGTGTGATGACACAATTTCCCATATTTGCGTAATTCTCTGTATATATGTTGAGACACCCAGAATTAGTGCAATCATCTGGCAAGTGTCGCCTTTGTAGACAAGACTGCTACAATATATCAATTGTGTATACCGGTGGCTTGCTTGACTTTGATGATGAAGAAACAACACTTTTATGTATTTAGTCTTTGACTTTTGATAATGATACAGCAGAAAAATGGATTCTATACATGTTTTAATGATAACGGGAAATTTTGTTAAAACAACAGATTCTCTCTTGTAAAGCTGAATAAATGTAAGCTACATGTACACACAATAATACACTTAATTTTGATTTTAACTTTGGAAGAATGACAAAATTAGCCAAAATGCCAATAAGTCATTGCCAAAAGACATAGTTCCCTTTGTATTTGTAATTGACATTTTGAGGACATAAAACAGACATCAAATTTCTCCTAAACTTAGAAATAGATATTTGCAGTTTCTATTAATAATTTGAAATCAAATTGTGCAATGAACTGATGTGTGATCTTCATACGAAGATTTCAAATATGAAATATGTGACAATTTTGTTGTAGTATGTTTGAGACAAAACATGCCAGTTGGTCAAATCTCATTGCACCCCAAATACAGATCAACTTGCATAAGCATAGTATAACATCCTGTCTGATCAGAGAATAATGTTGCAATGATACACCACACCATGGATAAAACTGAGACTGCCACACTGCATACATTTACTAACACAATGTATATTTGATAATCACACCTTAAAACAATAGTGGCATACTCACTTTGATAGACTGTAATTCTTTCTCCCCATCTCTTTCCTGTTTGGCCTTTTCTCTTTCATCCTCATCCATATCTCGTTCACGCTCTCTTTCTCTTTTTTCTCTCCTTTCACGCCGTTCCCGTTCATAAGGATCTTCTGAAAAATAAAAATGATAGTTGAAGATATGAAATACAAATCATTGAAATGTGATGATTAGTACTTGAGATATCAGTGGAAAAACCGAATAACCAACAATGGAGAAATATCCAAAGTAACTTTTATGACAATGACTTCTACGATCTATCTCAACACATTGCAGAAATTATTTCATCATATCAACCAATACATAGATTTAAATTTAACTTTGCACAATGTGTTGATTTGTTAAGGGTTTGAACATTTTAAGAAATATCATTTTGTTTATCTCTTTTGTTCGTATCATATTTACCCTTACCGTATGACATCTGAGCCTGTTTCTGAAAATCCATTTGTTTTTTTCTATCAATATCTGATTTTCTTCTTTGCTCTTCCACATCTTTTTGTCTTTTAGCTAAAGCAAGTTTGGCCCTCTCTTCTTTAGTCAGAAACTTGGGCTGAAATAAGATGAAGGGTTTTATATATCATTTCGTTCAAAAACTTGGTACATATGACATGCATGCATGTTAGATGATGACTTGAAAGACAAATTTGCCTCTGAGAGAAAACACACCTGCATGGACATAACAGACCAAAATGCAATCTATGAATCATCTCAAAGTGATTATAATTCTCACCTTTGACATAGCTTCCTGTTCTGCTTTTTTCCTCGCAATAACTTCATCCAAAGACAGTGGCTCTTTCTTTTCCTTGTCTTCATCATCCTCCTCTTTCACTACTTTTGCACTGTAGATTAACAGCACAGACAATACAAACACATTAATCTACTCAATAAGATATACAAAACACAGCGATAATAATGCATATTCTGCTTCACTCACCTCCGAGAGTCTCTTGATGATCTGTGGGGCGATCTTGACCTCTGTCGCCCTCTGTCCCTATCTCTATCTCTCCTGTCTCTGTCCCTTCTGTCTCTGTCATGATCTCTGTCCCTAAACCTGTCCCTACAAACAGAGCATTTAGACACATGTCATTATTGTTGTTTTATACACCACATAATGATACATTGCAAGGTGAAAATGAATAGCAATATAAATTGGATATGTATGAAGGGGAAACAAAAGTCAAATGATGTGCAGCTAGTCAGTCTGCTCACCATGCTTATCATTTCATGAAATTGCCAATTTTGTAGTATATTCGTAGCACCAGTTTTTATTCCATTTTGTGTAGATTGTGGTATTCTATTCTGTTTTCTGTGACAACTATACATAAAATCTCGGCCAATTGTAGGCTGTGAAAACATACAAGTGCGATTGCAGTTCTTAAAAAAAAAATCAGTGTATGACTAAAAATTAAGATACTATATAATAATCAATTATTATAAGTCAGGGCTCAAAATTAACAATATTTCTGGTTAGCTACAAATTTTAAGAGTTGGTATACAGTCTCAATGTGATATTTGGATATACATCGTGTTAAACAGAGATTTTCAAATGAACCAATGTCACATTTCTTAATTCGTGTAGGAAACCCAGACAAAAAATGGTAGTTTCTGCATCTCAGGCAAAAACTAATCCCGAGCCCTGTAAATGTTATCACCGTCCCTCAACACCGGACGGGGACGTTATTAACTAAATTGTATTTAAAATATTATGAGAATCATAAATACTTAATTCTTACCGATCCTTGTCTCTGCGGTCACGGTCCCAATTCCTATCAGAGCCACGGTCCCTTTCCCTTATCCTGTCTCTATCCCTAGATCTGAACTGTAAATCCATGCTGAATCAAGTCGTGTTGATGGTCGCTGTCATCCACTAGGCCGAGTTCATTGTACAATTACAACTTTAAAGTGTAGAATAAATTATATTTATACTGTAGCTGTATAGTCAGCAAAACTCTGATGGTCTGTGTGTACAAAAGAGCAATAAACTAATTAATGACTTTTTAATACAGCAAAAAGAAAAACAAAAGTATGAATGTAAAAGCAAGGGTAGTTTCTACTTAGTAGTTTTTATAGTTTTTGCGATTACGAAGAGTTACTAAAACATTGAACCAAATGAATTATTGAACACAGTACAGAGATCAATAAAATAGATCAATAAAAACAACACGAGTGCAACTGTGATTATTACTGTGCTGTGACTTTTTGGTGATTTATTTTGAATCCTGAAGAACCTAAATGTCTAAACAAAACCCTTGGCAAATTATTTCAATATCATAAGAGTTATAAATTTGTCTCTTGATATTTAAGTTTCTTGTTTACTATGTTTGTCCAAATGAATACATTATCACATGACATAATGATTAGCAATGTCATTTGAATAAGATGTTATTATAAGTGATGTAATATTAATTTAAGAAGGTTGCATTTTGGAGATTGTTTCAATCTTGGGATGGTGAAAATAATCGAAATTGATTGGTGAATAATTTGTAGGCCAAGGTTAGACTAATAATTTTTTCAAAAATAAAAAAAAATACGAAAATGGCTAACATCAGAAATATTGTAGTGTATGCAAAAATGACTTGTGTCCCTTGTGAAGTTTGAGTTACTCGTGAGCTGCAATTTGCAAATCATGTGAACTGTTGTATGAAACATGATACGCGCATTAGTGCGCAGCATGATGAAATACGCTGTGTACTGCAAAGCGAACTGGGCAACAAATCTGCCTGGATACGCAAGTTTGCATTTGTTCTTAATCAGGAAACAAAGGCACAGAAGTATTGGGGCAGCAAATTTGCAAACTTCTTATCACTTGTCATCTTCGCTAGCCAAGGTCTAAGTTTATTCGGCCAAGCCTCTAAACAGACCTTGGCAGAACGACCATCAAATATGCGTATTCTAACAGCGCCCCTAGTAGTCAGTTGCGGCCAATCATTGTCCAATTAGTTTGCGTATTACAAATCCCTCTTTGGCATTCATTTTAAACAAAATGGCGGTGCCAATGAATAGTGATATTTGTAATGATAAAATTACGAAAGTTTTCGGTGTTGGTGCCCTCAAGCCTCATCAGGTACAGGCAATCGACGCAGTTTTGTGTGGGAGGGATGTCTTCATAATGTTTTATAATTTGGTACGTCCAAGCAGATTGGGCGCCTTGTTTCGAGGAGTGCCCAATCAGATCTCACTGCTTAAGATATGCAATTAGCCTATGTAATCCCGCACGGTATCGTGTAGAGGCCTATAGGTCGAAGACACAGGACCGTGCGATTCGAACGATGATCACTTGTATGCAACCTGACTGTTATTCTGACCAGGGAAGGTGCAATTATGACAGAATGCCCCATTATTTGACAGGATTGCATTTTTTTTTTAAATGTTGCGAGCAGACTTTTTTGTAAATTACTTGCATTTGCCTACAAATTTGGAAATTGTGAGCTACTTAACTTTTACATTATCAAGTTTTGCAATGCAGCAAATTACCTTCGAAATGGAGAATCCCAGACATGTGCCAGGCCACAGTCCCTCTATAGAGGCTATGAAAAACCAATTCTATGTCCCCTACTGCAATATAGACTCGCCCCGAGAGAGGCCACAAGTCTGCGCCAGCGGACCCAACTGTTCAGTCAAAACCCAAGCAGTTATCGGTAACGAACTCGCTGGCGAATTTGCAAATTTACTGCCTCAATACTTCTGAGACTCGCTGTAAATAAGCATGCATTTGACTTCAAGCCTGTGACTAGCCTTGGGGTAGTTTACTTTGGGGGTGAGAGGGACATCAATGACAAACTAAGTACTCCCCACATTAGAGGGCGTTATACATGCTTGCTCGTTTGAAAGACGACTTTCAAAGTTCAAAGAAATGCTATCTTCCGGAAGTGCGGCAGCAATGGTATCGGCACAACTAGATTACTATAGAAAATACTGTTGTCGTACACACTGTCCGATTTTGCAATCAAACGAGATCTAGCTTTAAATACATGATTTATACTTGCCTATTATTTCAACAAATATACGAAATAAACTCTACACGCTTGGAGAAATTCACAGTTACACTACAATATTTACACCACAAGCGCTTATAATTCTGTCGTAGGGTCTGCGATCGAGCTCCCTATCTTCAGCAAAAAAGAGATCCAATGATGTTATCCAATGGTAATTTAATTAGGACGGTCATGACAATCTTTATAAAAAACAAGTTTTTTAGTCAAGTACTTTAATAAACATAGAGTTTTTACCAAATGCTTATTTTTTTGTTATATTTTCTACATATTCACGATCAGCTGTTATTTTGTATAAAGATAGCGAGCCCATGACATCACAACAACAGCCCCATTTCTCATGACGTTTACACAAATATACGGAAGTACACAAAGAGATATTTCGGATATCGTGCTGGTGAGTTTTCAGGTTATTTTAAATATAGTGCGGACATGCATAGCTTATCGTCGTTATAACTGATCTGGTGAGTGCATAATGGGTTTCAGAATAACCCTGTTTCTTTCGAATGTTGTTTTGTTTGGCTGGTGATCGAGTTGGTGTTAAACATTGAGAAAGAAAGATAATGGGTCGCCATTTTATAACTGCATTTAGGTCTTACACCACGTATAGAATATATAGATTTATAAAGGTCTTTCATGTTACGTCACAAGGCCTTTAGTGAAAGATGTTCCCCACGTAATACCTATGGAGAATCTTGAGTGTGGTCTTCACAATGGCTGCTATATCTGGGCAACAACATTCAATATTATGTGGGTAAAAGACCGCTATGCACACTGAAGTGGTGTAAATATTAGAAATAGATGCACTATTCTCAGTGTATATAACAGAAATAGATCAAATATTTGCACCGCGGTGATGTAAAAGGCAAATGAATCCACTTTTCACATTGCAGCGGTGTAAATAACAGAAATAGAAAATTGCACTACAGCGGTGCAATATTCGCACGTACTGACGACATGCTTCAGTGAAGGGAGTATTAGAACGAAGGCTATTGAAAGCAATAGGTATCAGGCCAACAAAAAGAATCGGCACAAATGTATATGCGAAATAAATATTCAAACCTTGGTCCATTCAATCATCAATCCACATACACATTCTACCATGTCAGCACTATTATATACTTGATAGTATTCACCTCACATAACTTGTTTAATGCATCATAGTACTATAGGCTTTGGGGGTTTAAACACCAAATCAAATTGGTTACTTATAAGAAGCCATTTTATATGTTGTCCAGTCACACTGGGGGTAACAGAAATATCGGTACTCCAGATAGAATATCCGTAGACAGTGCTGGTACAAACTTGAAAAGGAGCAATATTTACATAATTTATATGTAGCATACTAAAGACAATACAATAATTGAACAAATATTGCTAATATGCACCTCTTTATATAAATATATTTTAAAAACAATACAAATTATCACCACCCCACTAACTAACACACTTGCACAATGACAGAATGCCGCATGAACTTCACAAAGTGTGTCCAATTTTTGCACTGAAATTTTAGTGTCTAACTATCTCATGCTCAAAAACTGGTACATTTCTCTACCTATCCATCGTATAATCGTATTTACTCAAGTGTCTATCTGGATTCACTCTAGAAATTTTGATTGTATTATCTGTTTTTCACAGTAACAGTTTTTACTCCACTGAAACGTGGAATGGCATATTTCCTAGGAACAAAGCGCTTCAAATTAAAACTGCATAGTCATTACGAGTCATATTTCAATGATTCATAAATGCAAAGAAATGATAAAAAATGCAATTTTTGCTTTGAGTGCACTTTTATTGGAGATGCACTTGTAATAAAGCAAATACTCATAAATAACAAGGTGAAATCTGAATATAATTTTTGTGACTGGATGTGAAATGCTCACAGCAATAGAGAGAGAAAAATTATTCTAGGGAATCTCGTCACTTCATAGACATTTCAGGACACTAGAGTAATATTAAATAATTCTACTTTATTATAGCACCTCCACAAAATATACAACTAGGATGCTCAACTGTTTTTTTTATTCTCTTGGCACTGCGCTATAATGGGTGCAATATATTTTGAATTCTACAAATGTGCAGAAGAAATTAGAGGTTAGGATCAGTGTCAGTGTATTGCCAGTGTTTTGGTTAATGTTTCTGCATGGTTTAATTTGGGGTTTGAGACATTGTTAAAATAAATTTTTACCAGTGTTGTATTTAAAATCGCGGTGTACATCTAACGTCCCACCCTTATTCTGAACCAACGCATTCTTTTGTTCTCATTCATGCAGAAATACACTGCAGGACTGAGATGTTCCATAAAGGAGGACCAGGAAAACAACGAGGATTTGGCTTTGGAGGATTCAGCATGGGTAGGAGGAGAGATGAACCTCCATCACCACCACCTTCGTCATCCTCTTCTTCCTCCAGACCCACATCTTCATTGTTGTCACGGAATATGCCACAGTATCCAATTAGTGCAGGCGGAGGTGCCCCATTTATACTGAAGAGCACAAGGCCTCTTGCTGACGTTGTGGAAAGAAAAAGATATCAAACAGAACAAGAGTAAGTCAAACTAAAAAAAGGGACTTAATTTGAATGCCTTATAAAACGCATGGTTTTCATATTGCATCATGAATTTCTATGCGCTACAAAGATATACTTGAAAAGATGTAGTGCATTCATGTTAACCACAATTGATGTGATATAAGAGCCAATGTTTTGCATCTTTTTCTAAAACCCATATTTGATATATGCAAGAGCAGCTAAATCCAAGTTAGAAATAAAGTTAGTTAAAACAATGTTTTGGCCACTAGCTTGATGCCTTAAATAATTAACACTGATCTACTTTTACTGTGGAGAAGTAAAGGAAATCTCATAGTTAAACATTACACATAACGATAGTTTACATATTCTATAGGAAGGGGAATATTCACTGTTAAATATTTTGTTTTAGCATTATTTGATATCCTCTATAATACTTTATTTTTGCTTGGAATTAATTTTCGCTGAAGGAATGATTCAGTAAAAATTAAATTCCAGCGAATATACTTTTTTTTCTATATTTAACTGCGGAGGAATAAACAGATCTGTTTATATCTCCAAGATTTAACATTCAACTTGTCAAAAGTCATTCCATACAAAACACCCAAAAAGTCTTTTCAGAGAAAATTAATTCAAGCTAAAATAATGTATTTTACAGTATTTTTTGATACGTAGAAGATTTCTTTCTTTGTTTTGTTTTGTGTTGTTTTGTGCTTGTGGTGGGGGTAGCATTTTTATTGGTCAAGTTACTGTACCAATAGAATACATGCATGCTTATCAGTGGAATGGAACATACGCTTAAAAACTATATTTTTGTACTTCAGAGAACTGATAAAGTTTACTTCTTTTTATTCTGTACAAAGTTCAACTTTTTCTTTGCAGTTATTTTGATGACAGTGATGAAGACTTGTCTGCATCTAGGAAACAAGCTGACGTTAGTGATGAAGAAGATGAAGATCCTTTGGATGCTTTCATGGCAGGATTGGAAGTAATATACTTGTTGAATATTAAGTGATAAACAAACAAACTTTTGGTGCGAAGTTTAGTTATTAGGTATTCAATGTTGCTGAATTGTGAGCTTGCCCTTTTATGGTACTGATTATTTTGTCATTTCCACTGATTTCAAATGATCAAATCGATAGAACCACAATGATAAAGAGAAGTTAAAGTAGCATTCTCACTTTGTATTATACAAAGGACACCTCCCACTGATTATCGTGATCACCATGAATAACGATAAAATCATTTGGTTTGGTAACAAATCCTGAAAAAAAACATTGAAGCACTGAAGCTGGTATGCACTAAAGCAAGCAAGCATGCACACATGCACACACACACTGAAGGGTCACGGTGTGGTGTTAATTACCAAATGAAACATACTTTTCATTGTTGTAATCATAATACTATGTAGGACAAATGTGACAGTGCGAGTTAGGTGCAAGATTGTGTTTTTTCTATTAGGGTGGCAGCTGGACTATGTGTATTATCTGGAACTAAATCTGAGTAATGTGATAAATACAGATATATACAAGATTTAGATGATATAAATATCTACAGCTAAAACAGGGGGACAGGGTCTTGTTAAAAATATTTGGACACACTATTGCCACTATATATCTTGATATTTAGATAAAATCTAAATATCGCGTCATGTATGTATACAAAATGAAATAACATGATCGAGAATTGACAACTCACAACACAAAATTCATATGAGGTCTGTTAAAGTCTTTGTGTAGTTAACATGTAATTGGTCACCATGCCTGTTATTATGAGTAACAATTAAATAAATAACATAAACATCATTTTAAAATACCTTGTAAACAAGGTTTCAAATCAAGGTTTTATAATGTTTAAATTGTAGATACTCAACCATAGTCATGCATCTTTAAAAAAATTCCCTTGATAACCATTGGAATTCCATTTTTCAACAGAATGATTTACAAAAAGAATCCAAAGGGAAAGAAGCCGAGAAAGAGGAAGAGGTAATAGTTGAAGAAAAGGTTAAAGGCGTGAAAGGAACGAGGCAAGATATTGAGGAGTTCGATGATCATGAAACATATTTTAAATACATGGAAGACAATCCTAACGCTGGTTTACTGATCACGGATGACGATGATGAGATTGAGTATGATGAAGATGGAAATCCGATCATACCAGAAAAAAATAAAATAATTGATCCACTGCCGCCTATTGATCATGATGAGGTGAATACTGTTGGACTTGTTTGTGTTAACTGTTATTCGTCATTCTTATCTTGAAACTCCAACAAGGGATTCTGGATATATACATGAGATATATGCACACTAAAAATTCACTTCAGTCATTCTCAAGTTATAGATGAAATAATTTTCTCAATTCTTCACAACAGTGGCCATGATGTCACACTTTACCCACAATTCTTTGCCGGAGAATCAAATGGCGGACTACATGATACCGTACTAATGAAAAGTCGAATATCTAGAGAATGAAATGTAATATAAAAAATCTGTAAATTGTATTTTACCTACTTTTGTGGAGCTCTTTCATCTGGAAGTATTATGTTGTTTGGTTGGTCTTCCCCTTTTTTGTTGTACGAAAATAACCACTAAATAGTGACATCATATTTTCATGATTACTATTGATTGATGACATCAGAGTTTTCTGGTCATGAATAAATGATGACATCACAGTATCACAAATAATCAAGATGACTTCTCACACTAAAAATGTCTGTCTTCCGTTCCCAGATTAACTATTCAGATTTTAGTAAAGACTTTTATGAAGAGCATGAAGACATTTCCCAGTTGCGATTCAGTGAAATGCAAGAACTACGCAGAAAGCTGGGGGTTAAAGTAAGTAGAAATGCTATTAAATTGCTATCATATATTATCTGAGTTTTGCTTTGATATTTTATGACTTTATTGTGTATCTTGTTTTACAGGTATCTGGTTATGATCCTCCTAAACCAGTGTCTAGTTTTGGACATTTTGGTTTTGATGAACAGTTAATGCATTACATCAGAAAATCAGAATATTCTACTCCAACGCCGATCCAGGCCCAGGTAAATGTTTATATTGAAAAACTTACAGTTTGAGATTCTAGAACAAACCCCCAATCTGTTAATTCAGAAAACTCTCTCCACACTGCTATGCTTGTATGTGTTTAAGGAATTTGTAAGAATCATAATCCGGAAACTCTCGTGGTAGATTTCGTCAGTCTTTTAGTTAGAAAGCATACTAAATGTATTGTAAGATGAGAAGAACCAAACCAAACTTCAGAGACTTGTTAGTATTTTTGAAGAGAGTCTATCAGATTGAAAATAACAAAATAACACACTGGTAGCCAAAATTCTTCATCCAAAAATGTATGGGATAAAAAAATATATTCGCTGGATTTTATTTTCACCGAATCATTCCTTCAGCGAAAATAGTGAAAATAAAAATTCTGAGCAAAAATAATGTATTTTACAGTATTCCATAAATGAGTTGATTTTATTATTTTCTCTTGAATCTTGGCTGAAAGAAAGAAATGACAAAGAAAAGAATTCAAGAAAATTGTCTTACTTTTTGGCATATTTCTTGAATACAAGATAACAAAAGTTCCTGTACATATTTTGTTCTATGATTAAATGTATAAATGCCCCTCTAATTCATTTGTGGAATTCCTAATCTCAAACACAATCCCATTTTACCACCTTCTGTATTTTACAGTATATATATTCTCAGTTAAATATTCTAAGTGTTCACTAAATTTTAGTATGTCTGAATATTGATTACAGTTTTTGCTTCCACTTATTGTGTAGCCACCTTTACAACATAAATAATAAAACAGTTGGTGTAATTGTAAAGAAATAACACAGGTTGTTACTTTCATTAAGACAGTAAAAAGAACCCGATATTCTAGTCAGAATACAATATATATGTTATCCATTTTTAGAATTGACACTGTTGTTGCCAACCACAGCTTGAATTGTACTAACATTTGACATTGTTATGAAATTCAGGGTGTACCAATTGCAATGAGTGGTCGTGATATTATCGGTATTGCTAAAACTGGTAGTGGGAAAACAGCAGCATTTATATGGCCATTGTTGATTCATATCATGGACCAGAAAGATATTAAACCTGGCGATGGTCCAATTGGATTGATATGTGCCCCTACAAGAGAACTTTCACAGCAGGTAATTTAATAATTTCTGAAAATATGAAGTGCTGATCTGATTCATGCTTTCTGTCCTTGCTGGTATGTATGTGTGGAACATCGTAACTTTATTTGGTTTGATTAGTCTCTGTTCGGACGTAGTCCGAAAACGGGGACTTATGGTTTGCCCTGTGTGTGTCCGTGCATCTGTGTGTGTGTCCGTGTGTCCGTGGTTCGTGCGTCTGTGATCACCTGTATCTCGAACATGCATGGACCGATTAAGTTCAAACTTCACTCATACATCACACATTATATGGAACAAATGCACATGCATTGTTTTCATGATCCGATTAACGAAAGCCGAATAGCGGCCATTTTAAGGCCGGAAATGCATCAAAATCGCACATTTTCACCATTCCGGACCCGGATCTCAGTTATGCATGGACGGATTTTGTTCAAATTTGGTACATACATTAAATATAATAGGACTTTGATGCATGTCATTTTTTTTTTAAATCGGGTTTGAAATGGCCGACTGGCGGCCATTTTGTTTTAAAGAATTCAGTTCTGGATCCGTATCTGAGACATGTCTGGATTGATCGAGTTCAAACTTCACACACACAAGGTACATCATGTCACAAATATGTATGTGCATTTGTTTCATGATCTCATTAAAGATAGCCAAATGGCGGCTGCTTTAAGGCCGAAAATGCATTGAAATCGCACATTTTCACCATTCCGGACCCGGATGTCAGTTATGCATGGACGGATTTTGTTCAAATTTGGTACATACATTAAACATAATAGGACCTTAATGCACGTCTTTTTTTTTTTGGGATCAAGTTCGAAATGGCCGACTGGCGGCCATTTTGTTTTAAAGAATTCAGTTCTGGATCTGTATTCGAGACATGTCTGGATTGATCAAGTTCAAACTTCACACACACATGGTACATCATGTCACAAATAGATATGTGCATTTGTTTC